CCCCAAACCCCACGCCCCGACAGGAGATACCACAAATATTCTGGTGACCTGCCGATGATCCTGCAGGATCAAGTGCTAAGCAAAGAGATAAAAGCCAGAGAGAACTTGCTATTGAAAGCAAGACCGGAGCATTTTCAGCTGAAAAAGAAGAAGAGAGATATTGAAGGAGGCAGATGTGTGCTTCAGGGGGAGACTGAGGCAGCAGAAGCAGAAACATAAAGAGCCTCTTGGCGAGATGACTTTTTCAACTAAGGGCAGAAGATAAGGGAATGTGCTGTTTCTGACAGGGAAGGGAAGGTCACTCCACCACTGGAGACCCAGCAGGGAGAAAGAAACAACAGCCCAAACCGAGCAGAAAAAGGGCCAAATCGCCACAGCCGGGGGAGTGCTTGCAAAGGTAGTGGTAGTCAGAGTGTGAAGGCATGCATGTGGATAAGGACTGAGGACAGTATTTTGGAAGCTCAGCCAGGAGGGAATTACTGTAGTCCAGACGAGAGATGACTAAAGCTTGTACAAGGAGCCGGGCTGAGTCCCCAGACAATCTCCAAAATCTGCAGGATCGTTCACACGAGCCCTGCCGAGGGGGGGGGNNGGGGGGGGGGGGGGGCTGAGCGTCTGGCTTCACGCGGATTGTTAGCCAGGGTGAGGAAGAGTCACAATAACACCAGCTTCACTCTGAATGCTGACACACGCAGGTGGTTGATGTCCATCTTATATATCATCTTAATTTAAAGGTTAGCTGCTGGATGCGGATGAGAGAGCTTGTGACAGCACAGAGATTGACACGCCTGATGAATTAATGAAATAAAAGCATCAAACTACCCTTGAGGATATGGAAATAACCCAGCGTTGGAGATAATTCCTAATAGGCACAAACAAGCCTGAACATATCCTTGGATTTCATTCCTGCTTTTCAGCGCAGAACCCAAATGATTCCCATATTTCTCACAACTTGCCAAGCTGCAAAGATTTAAAAGTTATACTTGGTATTTCGAGTGTTAGAACGTCACATTTATCATTGCTAACATGAAGAATGTGTTGAGGTTTCCAACACTTCACGCCTGCGAGGCATTTTAAAGCCATAATGAAGACTAATTGTATCAGGAAGTTATGTAAAACTGTGCTGAATGCTGCTACTGAAGGACAAATAAAAAATAAAAAGAAGACTCTTACCACCAACACAAGAATCATGGGACCTTGGTAGATGTAATCTGTGTATACGCCAGCTCGCTTTCCAAACCAGCACCTGAAATGTCAACAGAGGCAATCAGTCAAGCTTAGTTCGAACAGGCAGACGTGTTTAATGGTGTAATTGCCCTCCGAGTTCAGTTCCAAGTTCCTGATTTGTGCTCAGAGGGTTTAAACACGTTTTTCCAGTCAGTAATTTACCCAGAATATGAATTACAGAGTGTTCATGATAATTTTGTTAAGAATTGAATCCTTAAAAAAACACATTTTCTTAAAACAAATGAAAACATCTGGCGATGCAATGAGACTATTTCAAGTTGTTGTTTGGTTAATTCTCTTCTAAAGAAGAATAAGAGATGCTTTGCTGCGCTGGAAATCAAGAAAAATGGAAGTTAATTTTAGATTATACGAGTAAAATAACAAAAGTTTAAATATCTAACTGCACTGGTTGATTTATTCACTTGGAAGTAAAGAAGAGGGTAAGATGTGTTTCATATAGTCCACAAATAGACCCAAAACTGTCTCTCAACAGCCCCAAACCCACCGGTTCCTACTGAGGACCTAAATCTATAAAAATGGGTCAAAAATATAAAGTTTAATTTTTAAAAAGGCTCGTTTATTTTCCCAAAACAGCTTGACACAGTAGCTTTTATCAAAAATCCGTTGGGGACCATTTTTAACAGTGGTTTAATATGTATTTAGATCTGTATGCACATAAAGTCCAACATTAATCATAATGTGTAATGAGCTGCTGGAGGAAGAACCCACAGAAAATTAAAGCTGCAAGCAGCGATGATCGGGTCAAGTTACAAACAACTTCCTGTTTCATGGCGATATCATTTTTCTATGCAATACCACGGTCACGCCCCTTTGACAAAACCTCACAAAGAGCACAGCTTTTCATCTTGATGATCTTTAGAATGCACGGACCAAATCTAAAGTCGATCCGATCAATTCTGTAGGAGGAGTTTGTTCAAATAAAACGCCTGGAAATGTTGAAAGTGGTGCCAAAATTGCACATGAAATTAAAAATGTCCGACTTCCTGCTGGGTTTGGAGTTTAGCTCCAAGAGGCTTTTCTGCACGTCTGGACATAATCTACATGTGTACCAAATCTCATACTTATCAATGAAATGTGCGGCTCTTTACGGAGGTCGCTGTCCAGCCATTTCACCCCTGTGCGCGACCCGCTGCTCGTGGCCCCAAACGATCTCTCCATTCAGTAGTTCTCCTTCAGCTTTACAACTGCACTGTTCGGGTTCACTCTCACAACTCTTATCAGTCCGGCTTCCAGCAGCCGGTGGCTCTTATCAGCTAACTAGAGTTACCGCCTCGCAGGTGTCCACCGACCAGACAGGTTGCAGTTTATATCTGAGCCTGTCCAGAGTCAGCTGATTTATACGCAGTGAAGACTTTAAAGGAATTTAATGACAAGGTGTTTCCATCGAGCAGTTTGTTTACATTTATAGTATAGTTATAGTAAATAAAAATAAATGTTTGACTCATTTAACAGTTTTTTTTTTTATCTATTAGGATCAATTCAGTGTTGTTTTTTTGTCTTTTTAACGATCAAAAACTAGAAAATATCACCAGCTTCATCCATTAAAGGACGGAGGTTAAAAAAGGAGGTTATTTTTCAGTGCATATTCCACCTGTGTAATACAGACCACTTACATCAATCGAGCCCCAATCACTCCCAATCAAAGTGAAACTGACCGCAGGGATAATGTGTAATTAAGAATATTGTACACTGTGATCACAGCAGGTTATTAATAACCATTCATGCAGTTTGACTTTGTCCTTCTTACTTCTCATTGTCGTAGTACAGCTTCCCGATGGCCCACGCCACAATTATAGGGAACGGTATACCTGTGAAGTAAAAAACAACAAAAAGAAGAGTAGAATAAAAGTGACAGATTCTATCATCTTTTCTCTGCTATTCAGATCAGAAAATATCTCTCCAGGGATTTCACGCTCGGAGTATGAAATCCTTGTCTTTCATTCTGCGAGCTCTGCCAAGCTCTGTCAAAACAATTGTTGCTCTTGAAGCCGAGATCCGCGAGCGCGTTCGAGCCGAGACTTGTCACCATCTGAATATTTCTTTTGTGAATGAATTTTTTTTTTAAAAGCTGGACTCCGGCTGGCAATAAAGCCGAGCGATCGCCATTGATTAACTGACTCGCCGGAGTATAATAAAGTAGTCGTTACTTAACGGGGACCACGAAGACTCTGCCAGCTGCACATGTCTCTGGAAACGTTCCACTTCATTAGCAATATATACGGTTAAAGCCTCTGGAAAATCTGCTTGCAAAGGCCCCAGATTACTCGAAAAATGTAATTTATTTTGTTGTTCTTCATCTCCTGTCCACACCGCTCCGTCTTTAATAATATTTCTGCTCTTGAAGGCTTCAGTTTTTTTTAAATTGAATCTTTATTTATTTTTCTGCACAGCCGTTCTGAAATGCGCTGCCATCTCCTCTTCACATGGAGGCTTCACGCTGGCCCCGCGGGGAAATGTAATCCAGCTGGCACAATACACCTAATCTCAGCAGCACATAGTTCAGTTTGACAGTGTGAAACGGGGTGTTAGTGAACTCCACACCAATACATTTCGCAGCTGCCACACGAAATCCTGGAATCTCCATCAAGTCAACAGCTCCCATTGTTGGGGAGAATGCGTGTCTGACCTTCAGTCGGTTCTGCTGGAATGAAATGTACCCAAACTGACAAATACTTCTACATTTTGAGAAATATAATTCAAAGGTTTTAAAGGAAAAAAAAAACTGATACCACTCTCCACTGACCAATTATTCAGTTAGAGGCAGTTAGCTTAGCTTAGCGTAAAGACTGGAAGAGAAGGGAAACAGTTAGCCTGGCACATAACTCCCCATAAAACCTAATTTTGTCCTTTTCACTTTTGTGTTTGTTTACAAATTAAACAAACAAGACACAACGTGTTAATTAATTAGCTTCAGAGGTGCTGCTTCTAGTCTTTATGCTAAGCTAAGCTAACTGTTATTTCGTTCTCGCTCCATACTTAACACACAGACACGAGAGTGGTGTCATTCTTCTCATTTAACTCTCAGCGAGGCAGAAAATATGAGTATTTCCCAGAATTTAGCGATGATAACGGTTGTTTGGAGTACGTACACCAGCCGATGCAGATGAACATCCACTTCCTGAGCTTGTCGGTGGAGTAGGTGAGAACGACAGCTGTGTGGAGGTAACAGCCTTCACCAAACATCCAGAAGAAGTTGGTGGAGTGGAAATAGTTGAAGGAGGCGGTGACGAGACGGCACCAAATCTACAAAACAAATTATTTTTATTAAAAGTTTCAACAAGTTCTTTAAGTTCAATTGTTCCCTGAGCTTTTAGATTCTGAATACTTTAATGTGAGAAACACGCTCTCTTCAATGACATCCATATCCACCAATTGTCTGTAATACAGGTTATAATTTCAGAGAAACACAACCAGTGTAAATGCTTTCGTACGGGTCTCGAGGGCTCATTGAAGGTTTAACGAGTATAAAAAGGATCTGAAATAAAACACTGATCACATTAAAGAATGTGTGACGAGCGCTGAAACTGTTCTGGAGGCTCATGGCCACACAGCGACTCAACATTCCTGCACTTGTTTGTGTTAATCTGACACCTATTGTGGAGCTCATGAATGCAGCAGCTGACTCTTGAAACACTTGAAAGTTTTTTTGCATTGTCCTTGAGGACGCCAGCAAGGATTCGGCAAACTTGTGAGTGGCAACAAAGACATTCAAATTAATTCTGGGGGGAAAGAGAAAGAGTTGATTCATAATTTCTTTCATAAAAGATAAAATATAATAAAAAATATGTAACATTTAAGCCTTAAAATGTGTATAAACAGTAGATTATATTTTATATGTTGTTGAGTTTTGTGATAGCATGATATGCTACTGGTACCGGCAGATAAAGCGAGACGTACCACGTTACTCTCGTGCACCTCGGGACTCATGGTCAGTTGGACGATGAACCAGGTGGCGTTCCTCAGGATGAAGGCGGTGATGAGGTTCCAGTGGATGATGTTTCTCAGGCAGCGGATGCTCCTGTGAGACGAACAGAGGAGAATAAAACCCCCGATCGCTAGCACAGAGGGACCCCCAGAGACATATTTTATGTATAATTCATATTATATTCAAAACTGTACAATGGACCCAAATAATGAACTTGGTAACTGCAGGAAGTTTTTAAGTTATTTGGATGAATTTTGAGCAGATTATTTCCTGTTTAGGGAACTTTTTATACAATTCTCTGTCTGTATTATGTATTTTTTATCATTTTTAAATAGTTATATAATCATACAGGACTTAATAGGCTCTCTGAACCCTTGGCTTGTTCTGTACAGAGCAGGGCTTCTGGAGCCACCTCCTGGCCTTTAGCCACCTCTCAAGTGGCTCCCGTGTGGCTTTTTGAAAAATATATGGAAATGGATGGAAGTAACATGTGAATAAAATAATGTTTTTGCATTTCGTTATTGACTAAAATGCTGTGTCGAACGACTGAACTGGACCACGTAGTGCATGAATGCTTATTGTTGTGATAGTCTCGAAACTTATTGTAGTTCTGTAATTTAATAACATCAAAACAACAACATGTTGTTATTATGATAGAAGTAAAAATCATAAACTGCAGAGTAGCCACCTTCTCATAAAACATAAGGCTAATGCATCCTCATTTAGACCTATTAATGCTAATAAATGTTAATTTAGACTTAATAGGTTGCATTATGAGGCTAAAACATACAGATGAAATAAACAACATATATAACATGATGGTAGATGTACTTTTGGCACAACCAGGCTAGTTTCTTTCCCCTACCACCATTCTTTATGCTAAGCTAAGGTAGCCCACCTCCTTGCTGTAGCTTCATACTCACAGACATGAGAGAGGTAAACATAGTCTCATCAAGTCAGCTGCTCAAATTGTAGATAAACTTGTATAAAAATAGGGGAAAAAGGTAGAAAACCCGAAAATGTGAGCTAATATGCTAATTTAGACTTAATAGGCTCTATTATGAGGCTCAAATTACTTAACGTTTACTTTTAAACACAGAAGTGAACCCAGCGCTGAGACATCGGCCTACTGTAAGTTTTCTGCTGCGCTTCAATGCCTCTTTTTCCCACATTTCTCCTGCGGCTTCCTGGGAAAAACAATATGACTTCACGCTGAGAAGAAAGACGTGATGTAAAAGCAAAAGCATGCGACCGAACTGGTGGGAAATATGTGAATTAAATATGTCTTCCTCCAGAGTGTATTTTAAACAAAGACAGTAATTTAGATATTCCTCAGCTCTGAGCTCACGCTGTAAATAATCTCAGGGAAAAACAGGAAATAAAGATGATGGATATGAATAATGAAGAGCCACAAAGTGCCCCTCAACCCCAATATAATATAATATGAAGTAACATTTCATTCCCACTGTTTGCACTCTTGTTTGTGTCACATCCTGAAAGTCTGATGTGTTTTTTTTTTTTAATGCTGTAAATAAATCAACCTTAGGATACAATTAAAATCCGCTTTAACCGCCTCAGAGCGAGCAGTCAAAAATAGAAGCAACACAACCGAACGGACAGAACAAAACCAACCTTTGTCGCTGTAGTGACAGCCGCGTTTGTTGTCACCAGCTGACGGCATTATCAGTGAGCAAAGGCTGCTTCCTCCTCCGCCAGCCATGAATGACATGATTTATTTTTCAGCACGCATCAATTCTTAATAGGTGTCACTTGCACTGGCTTTGTGCTGACTGAGCAGACGAGCGTGAGCGTGACTTTGTCTTACCTTTGCCTTAAATACATTTTTTAGGTTTTTATTAACCGCCTCATTTACATGACAACAGCTGCATAGAAAATGCTGCAACAAAGAGTTTTGAATAATTACAATATTACACAAAAAGCTGCCTTTAGGGTGCTAATAAACATATAAACTTATGATGTATAAAGGGTGTTGTCCCACAAACGAGCAGCTAATTTCACCATTATGTCACCCCGGTTACTGGAGCTGCCATTAGTATCACAGCGGCAGCGACTGCCATGCCAGAAGCACAATCAGGGAGTTTTCTTTTTTCAGCTGTATTCATTACTCTGTGTGACCTCACTTCTCTTGGCATCCTGCCGGTGGGGTCAGCATGGCCTGATGTATTAATTAAGAGGAAACACTCCTGCAGACACGTCTTTATTAGAGACACAGTGGAAAAAAATACACATTTATGTTCTTATCTTGTGTCCCCGAGTTCTTGTTGATGTGTTTCTTGTTATGAGAGTCGTAACGGTGGAGGAAGTACTCAGATATTCTACTTAAACGTACAATAAGGAGTTTTTAAACTGGTTGTGA